AGTGATATCAAGGCGGACCATCGAACATGTCCCCCTTAATATCAGGGGCCTTAATGTTGATATTGAAATCGGCTCACACGTTGGATGAACGACACATGGATCGCGAGAAAGGATGGGAATCGCGCTCCAGCTAAAAGAAGGAAATGGATCAACCGAGTTGGTGAAACCGACTTACCCGTTACTAGGACCTCGGTAAATTCCATCTCGGGAAAACCCGACCACGCAAGAGCCCGCACAAGTCGTCAGCGCCAAGCATTAAATGCCCATCGAATCGGTCGTCATGTCGCACATGGGGGCATCATTATGCGTAGGGGACCCACTGGCAGAAACGCTGCGTCAGTGTCATTCCGCATTAAATGCCGCCGAATCTCCTCAAAAGACGAGCCCGCAGTTACTATAAATAGCGGCAATAAAGGCAATACGAGGATCCTTTTTTCGACACATTAAATTCAACATTAAACACCTCGGTTATTTACCCTGTACAATACATTAATGCGACTGTAATCCGACTTCAAGCCCGAAATACCGACTTGAAGCTTTTCTTAAGATACACCCATCCTCCATATAAAACCACTTTAATTACGTGTTAATTCACCTCGTTAAGTTGATCAAATCCGTTTATCAACACTTAGCTATTACAACATCGTATGATTTTTTTATTTTTCTAATTTTCATTTACTTTTTTAGTTACTACAACATCTTGAATAAGAGAAAGTAAGTCCTAGGAAATATATTACATAACAATTTTTACAATTTTAAATGTCTAAAAATCTACTCGAAAATCTATTCTTCAAGTTATGAGGGACATCATGCGTGGTCTTCATCATCTGTGCTTCAATCATGTACTCATAGCTATGATGAGGAGGCATGTACGTGTTTGTAAATAGAACATTATTTTTTCTTTAAACCATCTTGTACCAATTTGAGTCGGATTCACTTTTCGATCTTAGTTAAAACAGGATTTTAAAGAGTGGTTTTCTTTGATGGATGTACACATAGAATATAAATATTTTATTATTGTAAGTAGGTATGTTGCGTTATATTTGGAGATTTTTCTCGTCCAGTTTTCTAGTCACCATTCTGGGCTTTCTATATTGTGATTTGTTCTCCAAGGAGGGTCTCATTTTGAAGGTTGTAGCAAAGACCACGTTCTTGTATTTTAAACTTCACGTGTCACTAGTGAGGAGGATGATGTGTCTTGTCGGTTCGAATTCAGACTTTAGCCATTCTAGAGCTATTGACTTGATCTTAGATGTGATATAGGTTTTATTTTGGAAAAAAGTAGTTTTTGTCGTTCAAACATGTATTTTTTTTACTAGGAGTTTGAATTTTGTTCCCAAACAGCTTTAATTTAATTGGGCTTCATTGGATCCAAAATAAATGTGGTCAATGAGGCCATGGTCAAGTAAAGTTTGGATAGTAATGGTCATGGTATATAGGAGTTTGGCTCCCTAAGGAATAGTGTGTCTGGAATTTTCAAAGATCACTCTACTAATATCACTGGCTTTAAAAAAAATAGAAATTTTATTGAATACAACATTGTATCTACATATGATTGCTAGCAAAGCGTGCAATTAAACTCATTTATTTTTTGTCCAAAAGACATTACAAACATATATTTACTTTATTATTTTTTCTTTAATTAAAATATTAAACAACCCACTAATCAATGAATATTTGATCTATATAAACAATTGCTAAAAAAATTATAAAACTATTTGAATTTTCCAAGTTTTTTTGTTACAATCCAATATTTTTTTTTATAAACCAGTAACTGAAAATTAATCAATGATTTTTTAACCATAGTTAATTAAAATGTAATCATGCTTCTAATTATTGTATTATGTAATATTTATTACTTAAACTAACCATTATAGTTCACACTAAATGATATATGGAAGTTAAATAAGAATAAAAAATCAAGAGTTTTTTTCTTAGACTCTTTATTGCTCTTAATCATTTTTTAATAAGCCAATTGACTTTAGTGTTATAACCAAACCTCTTAAATTTTTACAAATAATAATGATAATAATAATTAATTGGTCATCTCTTAAATTTATAGAAACTATGTAATCCATTTCATTTTATATAATCAAAATAGTGACGAAGTTTTATAATGTTCATTTTTGTTAATGACATCATTTTTAAAATGTGATACTATTATCTAATTTATAAATTTAATATTATATACATAAATATAACCTAAATAATTTAAACATTTATGGATGTACACATGATTAAATATGATTTTTTTTTTCAAAAGACTTGCATGCCCCTAAATCCTAATTGGTGAAGTGAACAATTGAAAGTTGGCTAAAAAAAATTAAAATGTGGCAAAAGCATAACTTATTTTTCTGTAACAAAAACACATATTAATTGATAATATGTTTTTCAAAAATAAAATTTAAGTAATAAATTTTCTTTTATGTAGTGATATAAATTTTTGGAAGTGTGTTTATATTTTATGGAGGAAATAATTGATAATATTTTTTTCAAAAATAAAATTATATTGACTATTTTTTATTTTCTTTTATTAGTGTTCTTTGTAGAAGCGTTTTTATAAGAAAATACTAGGCTAAAAGACATAATTAACCACCTAATAAAACCCATTTACAAAAAAATAACTGATTTTTGATAATTCCAAAATTACTCCATTCATTCCAAAACGTGTCAATAATAATATTATGAGAAGTTAAAAAACAAATAATTAAAAGATTAAACTCATAACTAACTACTTTCTCATCCTCTTTTTTTTTTTCTCTCTCTCTCTCTTTCTTGCACGTCTACTAATTCTTCTCTTCTCCTCTTCTTTCACTTTTTTCTCTTTCTTCTTCAATTTTCTTCTTCTTCTTCAAATATAAATGCCTAAAGAATAAAAAAAAAATAATTGATAAAAAAAATACACAATTATCTCAAAAGGCAGTCGATCGAGCAACCAAAAGAAAAAAGAAAGAAACATGAACTATGTATGTGAATGAGATAAAAATAACAAAAAAAATAACTATTTTTGGTGCAGCAACAACAAAAAAACAACATAACAACTATCAAACTACATAAAAAACAAGGAATAAACATAGATTGAATCAAAATTTCGGTGAACGTATATTATAAATCTCTTTGTCACATAGGCATCTAAAATAACAACAAAGCATTTTTCCCAATGTTATCAGTGAAAATAGTAACATCTTTTAATGACAAATCAACATTTTAGCAACTACCCCATTACCTCCACCACACAAGCAAGAAAAAATCATAAAAATTTCACTCATAGAGAGAGCAAGAAACTGAAAGTATCAGACCTCAAAACAACAACCATACAAATTACATGAAAGAGTGTAAGTTTCAAATTCCTAAAATCGTTGTGATATTTCATAGATATACACACCTACAACGTCGATACTCCCAGAAACAAGAGTAACACCAGAAACAGGAGGGCCCTGCTATGATGATTCGTTCGAAGATGGAGTTGGCCCGATCCGTTGAAGGTTTTTGCAGAAGAAGAATTCCGTTGAAATTTTTGTGACATAGATTTGGGGTTGGAAAAAATAGATTTGAGAGAAAGTGGACGTGGGAATTTGTTAGGTTAAATAAGAATAAAAATTAAAAAAAAAAGAAAAAAAAAATTGGGATGTAGAATTAGAATGAAAATGAAGAGAAATTAGGGAGGGGGTGAAGCTTTGTATCTTAGAGAGAGAGAGAGAGAGAGAGAGAGAGAGAGAGAGAGAGAGAGAGAGAGAGAGAAATTAGAGAAGAAGAAGAGGATAAAGAGGAAAAAAAACTGAACACTATTTGAATTTTTTTTAAGAAAATAACTTTTAAAAAATATATAATGATAATAAAATGGAGTAAAAATGGAATACTCCATTCGGTGTATTAATTGAGTAAAACATATTTTCAAAGAGATAAGCAGCGTCATTAATTCAACAATACTACAATCCTATAACCGAACCATTCCTTTATATTAAACTTCAATAAAAAACTAACACATGGAAGAGTCCATATAAAAACTATCACGTCCAAGAGTCCATATAAAAATCTAACATATCTAATGACTTATATTGACTTATATTGATTTGATGGAATTATTCTCCCACCGGACTCTAGTGTTTCCCGTTTTTATATATGTCTCATTCTGGACTCTTTTTACATACTGAAAGCTTTTACTTGCTCGCAAAATCTCTCGCCGGTCACTTTATCTCTCCCCGTCTCAATCTCGTCATCTCCGAAGTAAATTCGCAGTAATCAGGTATACACTTGAGCTCCATGCTTGCTAGATTTGCTTTTTTTTTTTATTTATTCTTTTTGCGGCGACGGCGTGAGTGACGTAAGCTTTGCCCGTCTCCCGATTGACCGGAAAAGCGTGATTGTGCGAATCGAACAATATTTGTGGTTTTCAATTCATGCATTTTTGTTGTGTTTCGATTCAAATTTTGCTGTGTTGTTCCCTTGATTCGTGTCGCCTTGTTCGATCTGCTGGTGGGTGGGATCGAAAGGCTGATTGATAGTTGGTGGCTTTGCGTTGATTAGGGTTTGAGTTTGAGTTTTGTGTGAGTGTTACTGCATTTTGGGGGTTCCGTTTAGGGAGAAAGTTCGTAATGGCTTTATGCACAAATTATGAAATTAGGGTTTTGAGGGAAATGGGTATTTTGTCAAATACTATAATATTTACAATTTTAGTCGTTAAGCCGGTAATCAACAATGGGTAATGATAATGCATTGGTCGTGATGTTGGGTTTATGGTTATTTGTAGAGGGTGATTAAGATATTAGCTTTTGATTTTGTATATATCTAAGAGTTTAAGTGAGATTCTGTTTCTGACATTAGATTTATTGGCTTCTACCAGGGATGGCTACGGAAACTGCTCACTCCTCAGCCGCCTCCAACGTTGCCGATTACTCCACCACAACATAAATATACCTTTTTAACCGTCTCAAATATCACAGCGAACGCCCTTTTCTTGTTTATCCCCTCCTATAACTAAGGATAAGCTAAAGCTATATATGGCGTCTTCTCTATCCTTTTCTTCTTTATCCCCTCCTATAACTAAGGATAAGCTAAAGCTATCCTTTTCTTCTTTATCCCCTCCTATAACTAAGGATAAGCTAAAGCTATCTATGTCGTCTTCTCCCTCTCTGAAGAGGCTGCTCGCCTCTAACCTCCTCCATAGGTCAGCGGTGGCTCGGCCTGCAGCTTCTCGCCTCTTCAACACAAATGCTGTCCGCGAGTCCGACGTCGATCGCCCTCCAGAGCCTCGTCTGTTCTCCACCTTCATAGGTAGTTGTTGGATTGCTTCTATTCCCTCCCTTTTTTTTTCGATTAATTTTTTTTTTAAAAAAAAAAGGTGTCCCTAACTTTTCCTTCAATTTCTGAATTTAGACATATTTGGTCCATGTCTCGAAAGAAGCAGCCTGAACATAATCCTGAAATTGGATCAATACGTGAAATCTCCTGAGAGATCGACGAAGATGGTCTTCAGGAACTGGGATGCTCGGGAGACTGCGGATTGGATCCAGCTGCGAATGGACATGCCTGGGCTGGGGAAGGAGGACGTCAAGGTGTCGGTGGAGCAGAACACTGTGACCATCGAGGGGAAGAAGAAGGAATTCGAGGAAGACGAAGAAGATGGCGTCGGCGGAAGGAGGTACATGTACAGCAGGGTAATAGATCTACCGGAGGGGAAGTACAATACTAGCGAGATAAAGGCCGAAATGAAGAAAGGTGTCCTCAAGGTGTTTCTGCCGAAGATCAAACAGATGAGTGGTGTTTTCTATGTTAATATTGGGTGATTAAGAATTTTTAAAGAGATTTTGGGGACTCTGCTCAAATCTCATTACAAATCCGAAGAAAAAAAAGTTTGTTTTTTTAAATTGTCAAAGGTGTAAATAGTTATTGCCGAGTTAGGAGAGATTTTGAGATTTTGGAAGTCATTTTTTTTTCTCAAACTAGTAGATATTCATTATATTTATAAATTAAAAATGTTTTATTAAATAATAATTATAATTTAAAAATACAGAATCAATATGTAATACAATATACTTGTATTAATTTATTAAAAATCTTATATGAAATTTAAATTGTGCAAAATTACATGAAAATTTGTTTATTTAAAATTAGTACACAATACGTATCTAAAATTATTACACAATTCGTGCACGTAACTGATAATAAATTATATTATATTCATTTCAAAATAAGTGTCATTTTAAAACTTTAATTCAAAAATTCGATTTAACTATAATGTGATTTCATAAAATAATTATATTGATAAAATTTTATCTTATATTTAAAAATTCATGTAAGTAGCTAAATTAAATGAACAAGAACCTTGTATTCAGTAATCATTGTTTGATACAACAATCACTTCAGGCCTTCAAAGTTTTGACCAATGTTTTGGATATACAATACTAATACTATGCTAACAATACATATGGAATTTAAAATATGTTTGGAATTTGAAAAATTGAAGAAAGAAACGACGCAATGGAAGAGTCATTGTTGACAATTCTCCTGGCATAGTGCTAATAATGGACTAGATCAAAATGACTCAATTAAATTCTAGTGCTTCTTTTATTAGTGAAGTTTCTAGAAAAAAAAAAATATAAAACGACGCAATGCACCTTAGGTCGCTACGGAAACAGCCTCCTTGTATAATTATAAGGGTAAAGTTTGCGTACAATTGACCCCTCAGACCCCAACCAATTGAAAATATACTGGGTATGTTGTTGTTGTTGTGAAGAAACGAAACGGTTTTGAATGCTCTAGCATTTGGAGAGGGAAGAGAGTAGAGGAGAGACTAAGCTTAGGAAATAAGTTTCTCTTGAAGAAAGGAGAGTGTAGAGTGTTGTGGTGTGCAAAGAGTTGTGTGGTATGGTGTGACATTTATAGATGAGTTCGAAGACATGGTGGGGTATGAGTGAGGTAAAATATTCACTTTTGGGATTTTTTTTCCATAATTTTTATTTTGATTTTTCTTTTTTTTTTTTTTCTTTTCTTGTTTATTTAGAATTTTTTCTTATATTTTTATTTTTTATTTCCTTTTTCACTTCTCTCTTGATTTTCGTATGATTTTTTTATTTTTTTAGATTTTCTTTTAATTTTCTTAGTTATTACAACATCTTGAATAAGAGAAAGTAAGTCCTAGGAAATAAATTACATAATTAACAATTTTTACAATTTCAAATGTCCGAAAATCTGCTCGAAAATCATTTTTTCAAGTCATGAGGGACATCATGCGTGATATTCATCATCTGTGTCTTCAATCATGTACTCATAGCCATGTACGTGTTTGTAAATAGAACCTTATTTTCTTTAAACCATCTTGTACCAATTTAAATCGTATTCGCCTTTCGATCTTAATTAAAATCGGATATAAAAGGGTGGTTTTCTTTGATGGATGTACACATAGAATTTATATATTTTTTTATTATAAATAGGTATGTTGCGTTTTGTTTGGTGATTTTTCTCGTCCAGTTTTGTAGCCACCATTATGGGCTTTCTATATTGCGATTCTGGGCTTTCTATATTGCGATTTGTTCTCCAAAGAGGGTCTCATTTTGAAGGTTGTAGTAAAGACCACGTTCTTGTATTTCAAACTTCACGTGTCACTAGTAAGGAGGATGATGTGCCTTGTCGGTTCGAATTCAGACTTTAGTCATTCTTGAGTTGTTGACCTGATCTTAGCCGTGATAGGTTTTATTTTGGAAAAAGTGGTTTTTGTTGTTCAAACATGTATTTTGTTTACTAAGAGTTTTAAATTTGTTCCCAAATAGCTTTAAATTAATTGGGTTTCATTGGATCCAAAATAAATGTGGTCAATGAGGCCATGGTGAAATAAAGTTTGGATAATGGTCATGGTAGGAGTTTGGATCCCTAAGGAATAGTGCGTCTGAAATTTAAAGATCAATCTACTAATATCACTAGCTTTAATAAAAATAGAAATTCTATTGAATATAACACTGTATCTACATATATATGATAGCTAGCAAAGTATGCAATTAAACACATTTGTTTTCTGTCCAAAAGACGTTACAAAGATATATTTACTTTATTATTTTTCTTCAATTAAAACATTAAACAACTCACTGATCAATGAATATTTTATCTATATAAACAATTGCTAAAAAAAATTATAAAACTATTTGAATTTTCTAAATTTTTCTGTTACAATCCAATAATTTTTTTAAAAAACAGTAACTGAAGATTAATCAATGATTTTTTTAACAAAAGTTAATCTATATATATATATATATATATATATATATATATATATATATATATATAAACAGATTTACCATTTTTAAAAAATGGCAATTAAATTTTTGTTCAAGCTTCTTTCTTCATTAAATGCTTTTTACTTATGGCAACTTCTTTTTATTTTCCACGGACAGAATTAACTAAAATCCAATCCATATTAGTTGTTACTACATCCAAAAATCGCGGATACACGTGAATTTTTTGGAAAAAAAAATAAATCTGCAACATATTTTAACAAAAAATATCCAAGCAATTTGTACAAAATAATCTTACAAAAATATGTTAATTAAAACTGGAAAATCGAAATTGTTGAGAGATTTCAAATCAAACAACATATTTTTAACAAAAAAATTAAAGCAAATCGAACAAAAAAATTCCTAAATCCAACAAAAAAAAATCTAATATTGAAGAATCCTAAAAACCCAATAAAGCAAAAATAAAAATCGCTAACATATAAAAAAAAAACTAAAAGATAATAAACAAATTTCGTTTTCGGGCAAAGAAACGAATGTTCTTTTTTAAGAATCATAATAATCGTTAAACAATAATACAAAATCGCTCAAATACTTAAAGATTCAAAATGAATTCTAATCTTCATGCGAGCATGTTTAAAAAAAAAAATATGAAGAACAACCGAAAATTGATATGATATAATACATGTATTCGAACAAAATTTATACAATAAATCGTCTAACAAACCTAAAAGTGAAATTAATTTTCAGGTTCAATAAAAAACAATAAATTTCGACCAGCAAAAAAATGAAACAAGATGAACGAAAAAAAAAAATGTTTGCGGCGAAATTAGGAGATCAAGCTCTTGCCCGATAGTTCCGCTTTTGTTGGGTTTTATACTAACCCTCAAATTAACCGTCAGATCTTCTTTTATGGTTGATGAAAATTCAGTCTTGGGCTAATAAAATTATTATTCTAATGGGCTTAGTATAATAAATCTATCTAACAAACCTAAAAGTTAAATTAATTTTCAGGTTCAATAAAAAACAGTAAATTTCGACTAGAAAAAAAAAATGAAAGAAGATGAACGAAAAAAAAACTGGATTGCTATTTACCGCCCCCCTATTACTAGTCACCGCCCCCCCCCAATTACGAAAATACCCTTTCCTATAATTTTGATTCTCTCTCTCTAAACTCTCTATCTCTCTAAAACCCTAAACTTCAACGAC